GGGATTGTCTATAATTATGTGTATGTGTATGTGTATGTGTATGTGTATGTGTATGTGTATGTGTATGTGTATGTGTATGTGTATGTGTATGTGTATGTGTATGTGTATGTGTATGTGTATGTGTATGTGTATGTGTATGTGTATGTGTATGTGTATGTGTATGTGTGTGTGTATGTGTATGTGTATGTGTGTGGTCGAGGGGGGCTATTATTGTGTAATAATATTTATATAAAAAAATAAATACTGTATAAAAATGTAATAATAATGATAGTTATAAATTATTTTTATATATATAAATTATTACTATTATAATAATATAAAATTTTTTAAAAGTTACTAAATATAATAACCTTGATAATAATATTTAAACACACGTCAATTTTTAAAAAAAATAAAATACATTAATGACAGATGATTTATATATATTATTATTATTATCATTAAAAAAAATTTAAAAAAAACTATTACTGATTGCTATAATAGTTATCATCATATGATTTATAATAACATTAATAATATCCCAAAAAATATTTATAATATTGATTAACACATAATATATATACAGTATATATATCTATATATATATATAGAAATCATATATAAATTGTAATAATTAATGGGATTAAAGGGATATTTTTTGTTTTGTTTTTATTAATGCTATTCAATATAACAATAATAAATATAATACAGTAATTAACTATAATTATTATCATTTATTATTAGTATTATTATTATATAGATATATGATTTGTTAGTACACTTAGTATCACTTGACTAATATCACTAACTAAAACATTTTTATTATCACAAATGTATGATTTTTTTGTATTTGATGACAAAATATTTCATATCATATGATTCATATCATTATTATTAAGCCCTTAAGTAATAGTTATCAATAAATCATAGAAATATATATATATATAAAACTTATTTAAAGACATTTAAGACATATTACATATGATATTGATTTTTATCTCATTTTGTTTTTAGATATACAGTATATGTTGTATAGTATATCCTATATATATACTGTATATATACTATAATATTAACATATAATTTTTTGTTAGTAATATTTTTTTTATAAAAACATATAATAATTTGAATTTAAATTGAAAAAAAACTACTAATTTATATACAGTATTATAGTATAACAGTTAATGAGGTGTTATTATATATATAATATATATACTGTATATTATGTACTAAATATTATGTGACTTTTGTTTTTAATATAAATAGTTTACAAAATAGTTTTTTTTATTATTAGCATAAATTATATGCTATTTATTACATAATACACTGTATTATCATTAGTTTATATATATATATATTTTACATTATTTTGTTATTATTATTATTATTATTATAATCCACACCAAAAAAAATCACTTTAACTTTCACTTTATATTTCATGTCTAATTGAAATAAATGTCTTTATATTTATCGTTAAATAATAATAAAAAAAATTTTTTTATATACATATTATACATGTATTAAGTTTAGGATTCATTCAAATCATTCAAAATTATTCATTAAATTTTATATTATTTTATTAAAAACAAAAAATCTATTATATTATACACTAAATTCTGTATAAACTGTATAATATGTTATATAATATACTAAAAAAAATTTGTACTCAATTAACTCCCAGTCGTCTACCAAAAATGTGTTAGACATTGAGCCACCCATACATACATATACAGTAGACTCACATACCAGTCCCCCACTGAAAATGCCAGTATATTCAGTAGTATAATATAATATACAGTAAGAAATAAAAAAAATGTTTAAATTTTATTTATATGTCTAATAATAATGTAAATTTATATACACATTCACACATACACATACATACTCACACATACACATACACATACACATACACATACACATACACATACACATACACATACACATACACATACACATACACATACACATACACATACACATACACATACACATACACATACACATAAATACACACAGACACATATACACACACATACATACACACACATACATACACATACACATACACATACAGTTTGCAGTCTACATAACAGTATGGTTCAAATACTAATTGAGATTAAATACCTTATTATACTGTATATAATATAACAAAATATGCCGACAATACAGTTTATATACTGCATATATATATATATAGTTATTGAATAAATTACTTTATATTATAATACTGTATAATATAATAAAGTATTGTATAATATAATAGGGAGACAACAACAACAAAAAAACTCATATAGTTATGGGATATTACAATATACTGTACAATATGTATATATAAAATTGAGAAAATTAAACTAATTTATTATTATTATTATTATATAAGTTATATTTAATTTTTATCATTTATTATATATGCGTTCAAACAACCAGATCATACACACACATACACACACACACACACACACACACACACACACACTAACCATATGGCTATAGAGGACTATAACAATAAATATCTGTTTAAAATCACTTAAAATATTATTTCTGATATATATATATATACTGTATATTATCTAAAGATAGCCTAATAGTACTTATATATAATATACAGCAATAATATATAGTATAGTATTTATAAAGTAATACAATTTTATTTATATATATATAGTATACTATGCACTGTATAAATATGGGATATATTACCCCCAAAAAAAACAATATTTAATTTAAACAATTATGTATGTATTGAATATATACGAAAATTATTGTTATTTTTCATGAATTATTTTTGAAACACATTTATAGTAGTATTTAATTTTGTTGGCAATTAAAATAAAATTTTGTTTTTTTATTTATTTCTCTATGACTATTAATTTTATATAATATTTAATATATTTATAATAATAATAATAATGTATGATTTCTATAGGATTTTAATTGCTATATATAAATATACAGTATATATATATATATATATATATATAGATATATATATATAACATTTTATACATATAAATATAATATAATAAATATAATTACAATTATTGTATTATTATTATTAGACATTAGTATTATATTATAGGGTTATCATTAAAAATTTTGACAAAATATTTATATTTAAAATTATTATTATTAGTATTTTATACCCTAAAAATAAATAAATAAATAATATTTTGTCATAAAAATATTTATATTTATATATATATATATAATACTTTAATATTTAATATATTTATATTTAGTTTAATAGCACACTTATATTTATAATTATTAAGACATATTTTTTAGTAAAAATAAATAAAATAAATGATAAACACATTTTTTTTGGGGTTTAATGATAATTATGTACTGTATTTAAAAATAAGACTCTCTATTAAAAATATGTATTTTATATACAAAATGAGACTAAAATATAAATATAATTTATATATATAATAAATAACAAACAAACAAATTATAACATAAGCCATGAATAGAGAGAGAGAGAGAGAGAGAGAGAGAGAAAGAGAAAGAGAGAGTTATTTAGTATATTTAATAGTAAATTAAAAACATTATATAAACTTTTAATATATAGAAAGTTATGCCATATTTGAATTGAAATGTTATATCAAAAGCATATATAAAATAGTATTTTTAATGAAACAACAAAAATAAAAATATTTTTTGAATTATTCAGTATATTATATATATATATAATATGTTTGGATATAATAAAAATATTTGTATATTAAAATTTTTGTCTTTTAAAATTTTATTTAAAATATTTTAATATACATTTTTATATTAAATAACGGTATATACTATACTATATATATATATATACAATATCACTATACACTATATTATCATACATTATTTGATTATAGTCACAAAAATTATATGGATATGAATATATGAATACTATATATATATATATATATATATATATATATATATATATATATTTAAATATATATATATCAGTAAATTGTGTGAATATATAAAAATATTTTTATTAATGACATGAATGCAAAATTTATGTTTGCCATAAAATTTCTTAATTTAATTTTATATAATAATAATAATAATAATAAATATAAATATAAAACAAGAAAACATTCATTCAGTTATTTCAATTCAACAAAAAATAACCAAAAAATTTTGCTTAACATTTGATTAACAAAAATTGAAAATTGATTTTTTATATATACAGTATATATATATATATACAGTATAAACAGTATATATATATATATACAGTATATATATATACAGTATAAACAGTAAATATAGTATATATATAATCAAATATCAGTATATATGATATATAATATATATATATATATATAAATATATAATTTTTAAAACTTTTAAATCAAAAAAATAATCAATTTTTTTTTGCTTATATATCATGTATTTTTCAGGAGCACTGGCCTACGATACAGTCAGACCCCTGTCCTATCAAAATGCCGACGTTTTCCTAATTTGTTTTCATTTGGGTGATTGGCATTCACTGCAAAATGTTATTAATAAGGTATATATAGTATTGTATAATAAATTATTTAAATAATTTAAATTATTTTTGTTGGTATAAATTTATCATCAAAAATATATATATATATTATAGAGTATAACTAAAATTTACATTTTATATTAAATTTATTATTATTATTATTATTTAAATAAGTAAATAAATTGTTGGGAAATATATTTTTATATAGAAATTATGGGAATATATTTATATATATACAGTATATTAACACTGTATATTAAATTAACTTGAATTAAATAATATAATGATTTCATAAAAAATTATATATATATATATATATATATATTGAAATATATTAACATTATTTTTTATTTATTTAAATTTTAAAAATATTAAAAATATAAAGTACTGTTTATTTTTAGATAAAATAAATAATTTTTGTTAAACTATATCTTAAATGAATATTACAAAAATATATATAAAAACTTTAGTATATATATATATATATCATTAAAGATTATTTATTATTAATATCCTAATAATAAATTTTTTTTAAATACCAGAATATTTTAATTAATTTTATAATTTATGAATATTTATAAAAATATTTAATATCTTATTAAAAGACAAACAAAACATAAATTGTTGACTATTAGTGTGAATTAAAAACTAAATAAAATACTATTAAATTTATGTCATCAATATATAGTATAAATAAATATATATATAATATTATATATATATATCTATAGTATAGTCATTATAATTAAAAGATTGAATTAATGGATAGACACGACTGATTGATAGACAGTCATACAGTACATTGAAAATATATGGGACAGTTAGGTTATGGAGGAGTAGGGGTTAAACAACACAATTAAGAAAAAATACATTAAGAAAATTATAATTATAATAATAATAATAAACTTTTAATTACTTAAAATGGACTATAAATTTAGATAAATTACGAGTTTATATATATATATATTATTTAATTTTATCACAATTTCTCTCTCACTCTCTCTCTCTTTCTCTCTCTTTCTCTCTCTTTCTCTCTCTTTCTCTCTCTTTCTCTCTCTTTCTCTCTCTTTCTCTCTCTTTCTCTCTCTCTCTCTCYCTCTCCCTCTCTCTCTCTCTCTCTCTCTCTCTCTCTCTCTCTCTCTCTCTCTCTCTCTCTCTCTCTCTCTCTCTCTCTCTATCCCTTTCCCTATCATCCTAACCCGACAATCCTATTTTGAATGATTTTTTTTAATCCCTGTCCTCTAACTTAACTTTATTTTTTTTATCTCCACAATCCAGTGGTGGCCAGAAATACAACAACACTGTCCATCGGTGCCGATCATACTGTGCGGCTGTCAAAGTGATCAACGATTTACGGAATCGCTAAACAATTATTCTGTCTATTCATTAGCACAGGACTACAAACGAAAGCCTGTCTTCTCAGAGGAGGTAATAATAATAATAATAATAATAATTTTATAAACATTTAATTTTTTTGCTTAAAATATTTTAGTTATAATAATAATCATTATTTTTGTTGTTAATAAGTCACTAATAATTAACGTCAAAAATTTTGAATAATTTTCTCATTTTTATTAATTAAATACAAGAATATTCTGTATATACTATATATATATATATATATATATATATATATATATATATATATATATATATTGAATGATTAATTTATTATAACAAGACTTTTAATTAATCTTAATATTCATTGATGTAGTAGTAGTAGTAGTAGTAGTAGTAGTAGTAGTAGTAGACTATCGATAGATAAAATTAATTATACAATTGTTTTTCATGAGAGAGAGAGAGTTAGATAGATAGATATATAGTGAGTGAGTGAGTGAGTGAGTGAGTGAGTGAGTGAGTAAGTATGTGAGTGAGTGAAAATTGGGCTTATAGTTGATGGGGTATAATATATAAACCATTAAATAAAATTTCAATTTATAATACTGTCTAATAATAATAAATAGTTTATATACTGTATATATATATATATATGTGTGTAGTGTATGGGGTAAATGCACTTATAAATTACAATATTTTTTTTGAGGGGGACTTAAATAAGTGATAATTATTTTAGTATTGAAGTTTTATAGATCATATTTTTCGAGATACAGTTAGTTAGTTGTTTACACATTGTGTTTAAACATAATAAACAATATATCCTTTAAAAAATCTATCAAAAAAAAATTAAATAAATAAAATAAAAATACTTTATTAACTTTATGTTTTAATTTTTTTGTTTGTTTGTTGAACTAAATATAATAAATAATTTGATTTATATTTTATATATACAAGTATATAAAGTGTTTATAATATATATTATATACACTCTCGATAGGGGAATATTCCTATAATTAACGTTTAATATATATATATATATATATAATATTATATATATATCTATTATATATTAGTTACAAGTAATAGCAACACATTTTTCGGATGACTTAAAAATCCTAATCAATCAAAAAAAAACAAATTAAAATAAAATAAAATAAAATGTTTTTAAAAACAAACAACATTTTTGTTATACAAGTATATATACTACACTTAAATTAATTATATTAAATATTATATTAAAAAAATTAATTTTATATATCAATCAATTATTAATAATTTTTTTTAATTTTGTTTCCCATTAGGCACTGGCCATTAGCCGACAGATCGGTGCCATTACTTATGTGGAGACGACATCACTGGCCAACAATCGGACGGCTCAGGAGGCGTTTGAAGTGTCAGCACTGGCAGCCAAAGGCAAACTCAACAATAATGATACAAATAATACTAATAATAAAATTAGTAAAAAACAACAACAAAAACAACAACAGATTAAGACATCCGCCTCATCCCAGACACTGACTAAACATAAATCAATGTTTAAACTAAGAAAATGCAAATCAAAGGCAGAGTTTAATAAATCTGAACATAAAAAGTGTATTATTATGTAAATTATTGTTATAATTATAATTATAATAATAATATCATAATTAATATACAAATTATGTTTTTTTTGTTGTTTTTCAATATATATTGTAAATCATAGTTTGATATCTGATATGTGTAAAAGTGAGACACAATTTGTTTGTTTGTTTTTTTAATACAGTAATAATAATGAGAGAGACTTAAAAGTTATAGATATTTATATATATATATATATTAATACAGAGACCATGACTTGTAATAATAATAATAATCTGTAAACTAAATACTAATCAATATTATTATTATTATTATTAAAAAGATTATTTATAATTATAATAATAATCATAAACTGAATATCAATAAAAATTATTAATAATTATAATTAATGACAGAAAACAAGAATATTCTGTACATTAATAATAATAATAATACTATTAATGATAAAAGAAATTTCTATTGAAATTATAATTATATATTTCTATTTATTATTATTATTATTGTATTTAGTAATAGTTTTATTATTAGTAATATTATTTATACTGTATGTGATTATCATTTATATTGATATTGTGTTTAATATTATTAATATTATTATTATTAATTCATTGAAATAAATAAATAAAATTATTTTGTGTTATATATATACAGTATATATATATATCTCAATATATATATATAATAATTATATTAAATATTTATAAATATTACAAAAGAGAGAGAGAGAGAGAAAAAAAAGAGATTATATTATTATATATTATATTATATATATATATATTGTGTAAATTGTAAATTGAGATATAAAAAGGAGAGATTTTATTATTATTATTATTATTATATATTAATATTAATTACTTTATATCCCAATAGATCGTTTAAATGTGTATTAATATTATTATTATTATTATTATAGATAACATTTTTTTTGTCAATTTAATAATAATAAAAAAAAATTATGATTGATTGCTAATAAAATAAATTGTTTATCAAATTATTATCATATATTATTAATTATTATTATTTTTATTATTTTTATTATTAATATTAAATATTAGGATTAATTAATGTAATGCTAAAAATTAATAAGTTTAATATATATATATATTTTTTTAATTAAAAAAAATTTAACAATAACTATAATTATAGGTATAATACTAGAATACTTTAAAATATTTTTTAAGTATAGATTTTATTTATTTTTTTAATTTTTAAAAAAATTTTCAATTAATATATAATAGTCTGACATCTATTTTAAACATTTGATAATATGATAACAAAAAATAAAATAAATAAATCTATTATTATGTTATGATTTCATTGCAATAGATGTCCAAATAGTCGCATATATTTTGTTTTAACAATTTGTTTGTTTGTTTGTTGGAAATACTAATAACTTTTTAAATTATTAATTAATTTTTTTAAAAAAATTTATATATATTTTTAAATATAATAAAAATAAAATTTATGTTTTATTAGTAATATCATAATTTTAGTTAACAACAAAATTAATTATGGTATCTATTTAATTAATTTTGATTTAAATTTGAAATCATAGAAATTTTTTATATATAATATAATAATTAAAATCACCAAAAAATATCAATATATATATATATCATTATAACTACAATGAGAAAAAAAATTTACTACTAATTACATACAATTAATTAATTGAAAGATATATATATATAAATATAAAAAAAATTATCACATAATTATAACATATTTCATATACAGTACTATTATATATATATAAAACAATAACTAGAATAATATACCGGTATTTAAAACTTTTTGATAATTTTCGGGTTATTTTTTTGAATTACCGGTAATTAAAAAATCATTTTCTCTCTCTCTCTCTCTCTCTTTCTCTCTCTCTCTCTCTCTCTCTCTCTCTCTCTCTCTCTCTCTCTCTCTCCCACTCATTGATTATCGGCGGCTCCGATAGCTTTCATCAAAAAAAAAAATTAAATTAAATTAAATACAAAATTATCAATAAATACCATCAAAAAAAACCAACCAAAAAAAACAATTGTATATCACTTACATTTATGCCGCGACTGATCCCCGTCCTCCCGGACATCCCGTTCCTCCTCCTCCTCATTGTCTTCATCATCGATATCACTGTATTGGACATCATTGACAACACCGTCATCATCATCATCGTCGTCGTTATCGTCATCACTATCTTCCTCATTGTCATCGTCATCATCATCGCTGCCATAATAGGATAGCTCCCCGTCCTCCTCCTCCCCGTCCCCGTCCTCATCATTATTATAGGTCGGCGACAGCGGACTATCTAATTCCTGTATACTGTCCTCGGATTGTTGTGCCAACAGTTGTCTCATATGTTGCTGTTGTTTTGATGGTGTACTAGGAGTAGGAGGTGGTGGCGGTGGCGGTGGTTGATGTGATCGTGAATGCGATCGTTGTGGTGGCGGCTGCGGTGTCGGCGGCGGTCCCATTGCTGACGGTTGCGGCGGCGGCGGCGGCGCCGCCATCGATGATGATAACGGCGGTAGTCTAGTCAGTAGGACTCGGGGAGCGTCCAATAGGCCAAGCATTTGATTGTAGTCCAAGCGATTTCGGGTGGAGGAACCGGTAGTCGACGATCTGGTAGTCATTCGGGTAGTAGTAGTGGTGGTAGTCTTGTTGTTGGCCGCCGTTGACGATGACGACGATCTGACCGAACTATCACCGGTAGGCATCGCTGCTGGCAGTTGTGATAACATCGACGCCGGCGGAAAGTCATCGAAACGTACGGCCCGTCGGTGATCCATATCCTTCATCGTCAGCAGCGGCGACGGCTTTACGTATACATTGCCGTTGTTGACGACAACCGATGACGACGACGGCAATCGGTAGTTGTCATTGTCCAGTATGGCTGTGGGTTTGAAGGCCGCAAAATTGTCCACAAAAAGCTGCGGTGCTAGCGATGATTGAGAAGCCGGAGGAGTGGCCGGTAACTTGAATTTGATGGCCGAGTCATTGCCGCCACCGCTGCCGTCGTCGTCGTCGTCGGCATAATCGCAAAACAATTGACGACCGCCTGTATAGTCGTCGCCAGTAAATCGATAGCCGTGTAGGCCATTGCTGGCCTCGAGAGCCGATCGTTTACAATCAAACTGGACGTATAAATAGTCGCACCGATCGTGATAATAGATTTTCTCGATTGGACCGAATCGGGACAAATCGGCGTACAATTGGCCAACCAATTGGCGACTATTACCGCTGCCGCCGCAACCGCCAACACCCCATACGTACAGTCGGGCGGTTGGCTTTGTTTGGCCAAACTCTATACGGCATCGATTGTTGTTGTTGTGGCGGCCAATAGCCGTTGCGGTGGCCGCCGCTGTCCTCCCAATCGGCGTCGTCGGCGGTGGTGGCGATAGTTCACGTTTCGCCCGATAGGCGTCCTCCAGATGCTGGTATTTGACCAGAGCGTAGACCATCGGTAGATCGGCTGTCGGTGTCGTCGGCTGCAAGTGTACGCTAACCGGTTGGCTAAGCGGACCAAACAATTCAAACACAGGCTGTATGTCCAACGGGTTGACCGATTCGGGCAAATTGCCGACAATCAATGTCCGCGTCCATCGATAGCTGACCACTAATTGGTCGGGAAATTCGTTGGCAGCGGCGGCGGCGGTAGTGGTGGTGGTGTCCGTCCGATAACCAGTTTTCGGGTACGTATAGCCGTTTTGGTGGTAACCACTGTAATCACCGATAGTATTGGGATTATTAGCACTACTTTTCATAATTTTTATTGAATTTTTTTTTAACTAAAAAGTTTTTATTTAATTTTTATTTATGTTTTTTAATTAATAATTATTATTCAATACCTCAGAGACTGAGTCACACATAAAAACTTTTTTTTTAAATTAGTTTTTTTTAAATACTTTTTCTTAAATTATATAATAAATAACTATTTTATAGATAATAATAACAATATTATTATTATATGATAATAAAATTATAAAAATAAATAAATAAATAATTTTTTATAATTACAATATATTTTTTTCAAAATCAAGTTTACATATAATTATTACTAATGTCTGACTTATTACTTATTACTGACACATTGTAAGTGATATTATATTATATTTTTTTTTATATTAATTTTTATGTTTTAAAAATATTTTCAGCCAATTAATAGATTAGTTTTGGAAAAAAATTAATAATAAATTTTTTTTTGACAAAAATATTTATAATAATATTTTTTTTCTGCCGCCAAAACTTTAATAAAATGTTAAAACTAATGGTTTAGAAATATATTTAAATTTATAAATAAATATATATATATATAAATTGTTAAATGTATTTAAATAGTTTAAATACTTTATTATTAAATGACTAAAAAAATTATATTATTTATTTAGTATTTATTTTTTATTAAAAGTAATTATTTAATTAAATATAACTACTATTAATCCTAGTCTTGATATATATTTTTAATACATTTTAAGTGTCAATAACAACAATATTTGTTAATATACTTTAGTAAATAATACATTAGTTTAATATATATATATATATCATAGTAATAATTGACTCATTAATTACTACTACTTATACTGTATTTAATGTTTAACTGCTATTTTTTGATTTACATATAAGTAATAATAATAATAATAATAATAATAATAATTTTATAAAAGTTTTTTAATAAAAAAATAAATTTTTAGACACTTGACATGTGACGACAATTTTATAACTATACAAGGTAAATAATAATAATAATAATAATTATTATTATTATTATTATTATTATTATTATTATTATTATTATTATTATTATTATTATTATTATTATTATTATTATTATTATTATTATTATTATTATTATTATTATTATTATTATTATTATTATTATTATTATTATTATCTTTGTATATCACGGTTGTTCCGGTGTGATCACAGTTGTGTCGGCCACTTTTGGTGGCAGAGACACGACTGGTTAGACTCAACTCAAGTCTAGTACTTTTCTTACTGTTCTACAACTCTGAAGTATCACTGCTTTTTGCATTTCATAGATCTTAGTTTTTCTGATTTCCAGTGATTCCAAACTTAGGGCCAGATTTTTCGGTATTACGGCCATTGATGACAGGATTATAGGTATGATTTCAACTTTCTTAATGCGCCACATCTTATTGATCTCATAAGCCAAGTCTGTATATTTTCGGCGTTTCTCACTATGCGTGTCCTGTAGTTTGTGTGTTAGTGGGACCGCTATGTCTATTATGTACGCCTTATCTTGATGTTTGTCTACTAGTACTATATCTGGGCGGTTGTGGGCCACAGTCTTATCTGTTCTTATTTCTTTATCCCAGTAGAGCTTGGCTCTGTTGCTTTCCATTACACTTTGTGGCTCGTATCTATAGTATGGTAATGGTTCTTTGATTAGTCCGAATCTTATTGCCAATTCCTGATGTATGATTTTGGCTACTTGGTTGTGACGGCTTAGGTACTCGGTGTTTGTGAGTACTTTACACCCATTTAGTATATGTTCTATTGTTTCGGACTCCATATGACACATCCTGCACTTGTCTGTTGGTATATTTAGCTTTTGGATGTATTTCTGATGGTTTCGTGTCGGAATCACTCGATCTTGTATTGCCATCATGAACCCCTCTGTCTCTCCATGAAGACCGGCGTACTTCAACCATTTTGTAGACATTTCTTCGTCTACGTGTGTTTGGTTGAGTTCTGCCCGGTATCTTCCGTGAAGTTCTTTTGAGGCCCATGTGTTAATCCTCTCTTTTTCATTTTGTATTTCTATTTGATGTTCATTATTGCTGAGATTTAGAGGTGTGTAGTTGTAATCGAGTGTTGATGTTATTTTGTGGAGCTCTGAGACATTGCATTTTTGTTGATGGTATTTTCTCAGCAATTCTCGCTGTTTGGCTTCAAGGCTTACAATGTTTAGTAACCCTCTACCCCCATGTTTTCTACTAACACATAGTCGTGCTACAGAACTTCTAGGGTGGTGTAGTCCAAACATTGTAAGTTGTCGCCTTATATGTCTTTCAATTGTCTCAAGTTCTGTTTTACTCCATTTTATTATTCCGAACGAGTATGTCAGTACAGGTATAGCCCAAGTGTTTATTGCTTTGAATTTGTTGTTTGAGTTTAGTTGAGATTTTAGTATTTTTATTATTCTTTGGTTTAATGTTTTCTTTATTTCTTCTTTAACTTCTGTCATTTTAGATTTATGCATTTGCTTAATTCCTAAGTACTTATATATATCTCCATTTTCTAGTGCCTTTATATATCCATTTTCAGTTTCGTATTGATTTCTTTCAGAATAGACTCCTCTTTTCAGTTTCATTATAGCACATTTATCTAATCCAAATTCCATATTTATATCATTGGAGAAAGTTTCTGTTGTTTTTAACATTGCATTTAAATCAGATTCTTTTTCGGCGTATAGTTTTAAGTCGTCCATATATAGTAGATGTGTTAGATTATATTTTGTATTACTTGATTTTAGATTTACGCCTTTTAGCTTTTTAAGTAGTGATGATAGTGGGTTTATGGCTAAGCAGAACCACAGAGGACTGAGTGAATCTCCTTGAAATATTCCTCTATTTATTTTGATTTCTGTACTTATTTTTGTTCCATTATTTGTATTGACACACAATTTAGTTTTCCATTTTTTCATCATATTTTCTAATGTGTTTATCAGTGTGTTGTCAATTTTATATAGTTTTAACACTCTTAATAACCATTTATGTGGGACTGAATCGAATGCTTTCTTATAGTCTATGTATGCTATTTCAAGATTTCTATGTTTTTGACGAGCTCTTATTGTTATAATATTGTCTATTGTTAATTGCTCTTTACATCCCATTGAGTGTTTTATACAGCCTTTTTGTTCTTCAGCTATTATGTTGTTGTTACTTAAATGATTATATATTTTTGTTGATATTATGGATGTTAGGATTTTATACATTGTTGTTAGGCAAGTGATGGGTCTATATTTGCTGGGATCTGATGTACTTTCTGTTTTTGGGAGTAGATATGTTATTCCGGAAGTGAGGAAGTCATCGGTTTGTCCTGTTTTTATTATTTTATCCATTGCTATTGCCATTGGTTGATGTACTGTTGTAAAGTGTTTGTACCAGAAGTTTTGTATTTTGTCTTGTCCTGGGCTTTTCCAATTGTGGGATTTCTTGATGGCTTCGGTTAAGTCATCTTTAATTATATTTACTGAAGTCATAGGTGGTATTTTTTTATTTTCATCTTCAATATCATTTATCCAATTAGATTCTTTATATTCCTTTGGGTTGCTCCAGATTTCTTTCCAGTAGTTTTCTATTTCATCTATTTGTGGTGTATGGTTAATATTGCTTGAATTTATTTTGTTTTGATTTCTATAGAACATTTTTTCGTTATTATAGAACATTGTATTTTGCTTTCGTCTTTCGCTTTGTTGTTTATATCTTCTGATTCTTTGTGATAGTGCTTGAACTGTTTGTTTTAATGTGTCGTTGTAATTCCGGATAATAGCTTCAAATTCAGGTTTTCCAGGTTTTGTCTGTAATAATCGGTATATATCTTTTAATGATTGGTTAAGTCTTTTTGATTTGTTTCCATTTAACACTTGCGTTATTCTTCCTATTACTTGTCTTTTTCCTTCTATACGTGTCTCTATTCGCTTTTGCCATTTAGGTATTATATTTTCTTGATTTAGTTTTGTAGTTGACATGTGTTGTATTTTGTAGCCTAAGAGTCTCGATACTGCTACTGCTGCACAGTATGTTATTGTATTAATTGTGCTCAACGACATGTTATCTTCGATGTAATCTTTAAGTATATCATTAATTGTTATTATTGTAGATCTTGTTTTTACGCCACTTTTTATTTTTGGTAACTTAGGTCTGAGTTCTATTTCAAAGTCTTTATATTGTTCTAAAGAAGTTTTTAGTTCATTTTCTGCTGTTATTCTATTTATTTCATCATTTGTATTGATTCTGTTATCTGTTGTTGTAGGTGTCTCTTCCATTTCTGGCACTACTTCTACTGTGGTATTTAATTCAGTTGTTTCATTTAATGATAGTTCATGTGCCACTTGCTGTTTGATTTCTTGTAATTCTATTGGGGATATTTTATTATTCTTTGCTAAGAATCGCCGCTGGTCTGCAATTCTTTGTTCCGTTACATTTAGTTCTGGATATTTCTGTTTGAATGCTAAGTAAATTTGGTTTCTGTAATCAGTCATATTTGTTTCGAGTCGAGTTGATCTGTAGTATTCGCGCATTATCAAGGTATTCATCTCATGTGTCCATTTCATGCGCTTTTGCGATTTTTCAACCAAATTGGTCAGTTGTCGCTGGGAACCAGCTTGAACTGAAACATTTTGGAGGTTAGTCTGATTTTGTTGACTAGTCTGCGGTCGCATTACATCACAGCTTTGCCCGCATAGCACATCACTGCGTGGGATATGATGCATACTTAACGAACTGCAGTCAATGCCTACCTGCTGAACGCGGGATTTATTTGAGAGGGTACCTCCCGAACACCCCCCGTTATTCCTTCGACTACGTGTAATCATAATTATATATATATTTGTTTTTGGCCTTTTTACGGGGTCCCAGTCCCTAGAATAAGCTCAACACTAACATGTGTCTATTGCCACCCATTTCTCACCACTAACATGTGTTTGTTGAAATAGGATTTTTTTATTTTTTGAAACAAAAGTGGCCATTGCGTGTGAGGACGAGTAACTACTCGAAGGGTGAAGAGACATCCTTGCGGACGT